TGGCGAACAAGGGGTGGTTGCAAAGGGAAATCTTGAGATGGAGGGAAAGAATTCAGGATTGCAGAGTTGGAAGCCTGGGGGATTCGCCAACCCACTGAATGGGTTGGAAGGGACTTTGGAGGTCTTCTAGTCCAACCCCTTAACTCAACCCAGAAAGAGACCTAAGGGGGTCTTTTGACAGGTTGGGGCAGGGGAGAAAGGGAGAGGAGATATAAAATGAGATGGGGAGGAGGAGGAGAAATTTAGGGGGATGAGGGCTTCCTGAAACAATAGTACAGGTACATGGTAATTCCACAGTCTTTGTTCTCCTAAATACAGTCACAAACACCGAGGGATATTCTGTATTTATTGTTACTTCCTATATAAGGACATTATATGTGAAAGATTCCCCATCGCTAGCGGAGAACTGAGGGGGGACTTCAGACAGTGTCCCTCACAGGGCCTACAGTTCCCATCATCCCCTGACCAGAAAGGAGTCCCGTCCCCCTCCGATCCATGATGGCCCATGTTCCTTCTCCTGCCTCCACTGTACCACGCACAGCCCTTAGCGGCGCAGGCATGCAAAGCCACACAAGGGCCATCCTTCTCAGCCATGTGTGGCCGGGGATAATGAGCCCCTTGTCTTCCAGCCATCTTGGGGACCAGGCCAGTGAATCCCAGGGATGGAAGTGGAAAATAACCACAGGACAGAGAGAAAGTGTGTGTGTGTGTGTGTGTGTGAATACACCCCCCCCAAAGCCACCAGATCACCCAAAAGCTGGCCAAGGCTACAAAACCAGGCAAAAAAAAAATGAGAGTAAAATTTGGGAGGGGGAAATAGACCCCTTCCATCCCACTTCAAAAGACCAAGGGGGAAAAAAGGGATGGTAATGAAGCCATTAAGACATTGGGGGTTCAGTCTTTCCTAATGGGGGGGGGAGGTTAAAAAAAAAAGGTGAAAAGAGGGTAACTTTGGGCCAGGAAATGAAATCGAGCAGGAAATTTGATGGAGGGAGGAGGGGATTCAGGTTTAGGGGGGAACCGCCCCTCCAAGGGAGGAGGGGAAACAGGAGGATAAGGAAAAAGGAGGGGGGGAGGAAAGATGGGGTTGCATTTTGGCTTCTCCCCATTGCCAGGGAGGCAGAAAGGGGTTTTTTTGGGGGGGGGCGAGAGAGAGAAGGAATCTTTTCTTCTAAGATGTGGGGGCACAGAGGAAGCCATGGGGATGCTTCATGCTTCCTTACATTTGGGGGAGGGGAAGGAGACCCTCACCCCAAAATGGGAGAAATAGGTCAAAGGGTTGAAGACAAAAAAACACTGATGATTGGGGGTTTTGTTGTTGTTACAAAGGCTATGGGGATACTCCTATAACCCCCCCCCCGATCTGCAAGGAGGGGGGAGAAAGGAGACCCCCACCTCCCAGAAACTGGGAGGAGTCATCAATGGGGGGGATGAATCGTTTTAAGGTGGGGGGCATAGAGGAT